CAAGTGACCAACTTGTATATGACCTATGTGGCACACCACAGTTCTGTAACCACCAGACTATTTTCCACAGAGTAGCGAATTGTGGAAGCCACATATATATACTGTGAACAATTTCTATTCCACAAGAGCCTATTTAGGTTCCCTTTTTACATGGTATCTTATAAATTCCCTTTTATTTCTATTTTCACTATTTGTTGATATGAGATATGCACAAAGATAAACTATCTCTTTCTTCATCATGGACCAAAAATACTCCCACAATACCAATCATGGCTATGACTAGCCATGGATCTACAGGAAACTCAGAGCAGTGGCTTGAAGGTGACTGAGAAAGATGCCCCATGCTAGTGATTTCAAACTTGAGCTTTCATTATAATCATTTGAGAAACTTGTTACAAATAAAAATCCTGAACCCCATTCATGACTTTATACCACAAATGTTATTTCAATCACTCACCCATGCAGTGTTTTTAAGATCAGCGTCAGACCATCTCCATTAGAATCACCTCTGTGCTAAAAATACAGCATATTTTCTTTAATTGATATTGGAGATTGAACCAAGGGGCACTTAACCACTGAGACACATTCCCATCCCACCCTTTTTTGTAATTTTTTTAAAATTTTGAGACATGGTGTCACTAAATTGCTCAGGGACTTACTAAGTTGCTGAGGCTGGCTTGGAACTTGCAATCCCCTGCCTCAGCCTCACAAGCCATTGGAATTAGAGGCGTGTGCCACCACACCCAGCAACAGCTTACTTTCCTCAAGCAACATACCTGGCATGTCTTTCAGAAGCTCTTCAGCTCATCATTGTAAGTAAGAATTGTCAAAGTTAAAATTATTTAAATTCTGCTACCTATCCATTAACCTGACAATCACTGCAATCTAGTTAAAATTCAAATATAAGTAACAGCTAGACTTCTAAATGGGGCATATGTGCTACACTATGACTTGCCGCTCCTCTAGCCTTTATTATTCAACATCTAAACCACATGTGCTCTTCAAGCTTTCCTTGCAGATATTGTGTGAGTTCACTCCTTACTTTTACTTCTTATCTGTGTTTCTGACCTTGAGGTTGTATTGGACTTTTGCTTTCCTTTCTTTCCTGATTTCCTCATTAAGATTTTTCTAGTCCTTTACTTCCCCTCCCATTTCTCTTTCTGCTTCCATCTTCCTTTCCATATCTTCCAACCAACTCTGTCTATTTTTCTTTTTTCTTTTTCCTTTGGACCATCTAATGCTATATATTAACACTTATGATTCTAAGAATTAGTATCTTGGCTAGCAGAGTTTGTGTTCACAGAAGTTTTCTTGAAAGATGGGCTTCTTTGAAAGCATCATAGTACCATTGAACCTTGTGTCATCTTGAGCTCCTGCGTAGTTCAAAGCTGGTTCTAAAAACTGAGTGACGGAATGTTATTGTGCTATGTGTTATGGACTACAGCAATAGTGTGTTGAGTAAATGCCTGTGGCTCGTATTCTTCCTTCCAACTCTCTTGACCCCTGCATTACCCATTGCCACTTAACAATCCTCTGACTGGGGTCATCTTACATAAGTTCTACAAAAAATGCAACAGTATGACTTGAGGATATCAACTGTGAAGATGTATCATCTACAGCCCCTCTCAAACTGTCATATCTGGAGGAAAATAGATTTTACGATATCCTTACTTGTCCCATCCTCAAAACTCCTTTATTGCCTTATTTAAATTTCTATTATTGGATTTACCACCTTCTGCTTAATATTTTTTGTGTACCTTTCTCTTTGACAAAATTATACCATCGATAAGGACCAGGGGCATCTCTTCTCTTCTTCTGTTGACCTCCATGGAATTTTATAAAATGTGGACATTCAATACATGTTTTTCAACTGAGCTGAATGTTATGCAAAAAAAAGATCAGACAATTTGTCCCAGAAGTCTAGTGTGATCGAAAATAGATAAATTAAAGTCGCAAAATGAAGGTATATCTTCATAAGTAGAGAAATCTAGGGAGGTGAAGATAGAAGGAATAGCAGGTGCACAAATAAGTGATAGAGTCTAGAACCTGCTCCCAGGCCTGGTACCAGAGAGCTTTTCTTTTGGGGCACAAGGTGGCAGAATGTGTCCATTTCAATCATCCCTTACAAGGCAACTCCAAGAGGCTAAACTTTTCTGCTCTGTTTTGGAAACCTGTGCTTATTTTTAAATACAGTGAAGATAATATAGTTTAGTGCCTAAAACATGGGTTTAGATAAAGCACAAGCTCAACACTCTGATTTCAGATCGTCCTTGAGTGTCTCTGATCTTTCTGTGTTTGAACTAACTCCTCCACATCTGTGGAAGGGATGAAAAAATATGAACTTTGCCAGTGCTTTGAAGAAATGCCCATGAACACTCAAGTTTGAAGAGAGGAGACAAAATCTGAGCAGAAGGTTGAGATGCAGTTTCTCCACTAGAAGGCACACTAGGACAGACAACCTGTCACTACCCAAAGAAAGCATTCACATTCTCTATCCATTCATGCTTTTCTTTTACAATCCCAAGTGTTTTTCACATGATCAGATCATTCACTTGTAAAAGTCCAATGTAACCTGAAATAGAAGCAACAGTTTGGATTCCAAACACTTATTTGCAATTTTAGTTCTGATATGATAGTCTTTACTTCATTAACTGCTTCCAGGTTTATTTTTTGTTTTTGTTTTTGTGTTTTTGACAATATTATCTTATATTAAAAAAAAACAAAGTATTAGTAATAGTTTATTAGTTTATTATGAAATTCTGATGGTAACATTCCATAAGGGGTCTTTTCATCAATACTGATATCTGTAATGTGCAAAAGTTAGAAATGAATGAAAGAAAAAAAAGACATTCATTGTTTTCAGGTTCTAGTTGGGATTTTTTCCCCCAAGTTTCCTCTCCCTATCCCTCTTTCTCAATATGTATGTTTTAGTCAGCTTTTTCACTGCTGTGACTGAAGGATCAGACCAGCACAACTGTAGGGGAGGAATAGTTTATTTGAGGGCTCATGGTTTCAGAGGTCTTAGTTCAGAGAAGGCTGGCTCCATTCCTCGGGGCTCAAGGTGAGGCAGAACATCATGACAGGAGAAGGTGGCAGAGGAAAGCAGCTCACATCATGGTGATCAAGAAGTAAAGAGAGAAACTCCAGCTCCAGATACAAAATATACACCCCATAGCCATGCCCCAAATTAACAGCTTCCTCCAGCCACACCCACCTGCCTCTAGTTACCACTCAGTTAATCCCATCAGGGATTAATTAACTGATTGGGTTCAGACTCTCACAATCCAATCATTTCTCCTCTGAAACTTCTTGCATTGTTTCACTCGTGAGCTTTCAGGGACACCTCAGATCCAAACCATAACAATATGCATATTATATATATATGTAAATGAATTATGTTTTATGTGTATCTATGTAATATATGGCAGTAAAGTGAGTTTGACGACAAAAATTCTGGAGTCAGTCTGCCTAGGTATCAATCTTAGCTTACTAGTTAGAAAACTCTGTTTACTTATGTATAAATTGTAAAAATAACCATGCAAATTTAATTTAACAGAATTTAACAGAGCATGGCACCTGGCAGACCTTAGAGTGGGTAAGCCACTATTATTTGTGTGTATGTGGAGAATCTCATTTATTCCATGGCTTATATTGCCACTTTTATTTGGAAACAAAGCACCTTCTACCTAGTGTTGGAACTCTGGATCTGTTTAAGGTAACATAATGCCATATGGGCATTGACTCCTGTCCACTGTGTCACACACATTGTTCAACTTGACAGTGGGGGTGCCTCACAGAATGCCCCAGTCATAACTTCTGCTGTTTGGGAACTTGCATCTTAAAGAGACTAGAGAATAAGTAATTTTTTTCTCCATCTTCTCCTTTTCTTCTCTCAACCCTTCTTATGTAGAAGGTGTTAGGGATGAAGAGGTATGTCTGTTAGGAATTCAGTTCAGCTATAAATAACAACAACAACAAAATAAATGGTAGTCTAGGAATTATTCTCATAGAACAAGGACACTGGAAGCAGAGGGCTGATGGGTCTTGTTCTATTGTATTGCCATGATTATTTTGTCCTTCCCAATGGCCACAAAAAGACTTTGGTGCCTTCAGGCAGCATGTTCAAGTTAAACCAAGAAAAAAGCCTTAGAAGAAAGGTAGTACCAGCTATATAAGCTGCTTTTATTAGTTGGGGCAAAACACTTCCATAATTCCTCATCCTTCCTAATAGGAAACAGATTTTGTTTTCAAAACTGTCTCATAAGGACATCATTAACTGAAAAGACATCTACAGTAAAGGAAAGGAGAAAGAAATAGGCTCATAATAATTTGGAATCCGTCAATGAACACTATGTGTTGAACTACATTTTTGTTTTGCCTTTTCTTTTGTTTCTCGTTCTCATATTTTCCCATTGCCCTCTCTCCACGCACTTGTCCCCTTTAGAAGGAAGTAGAATTGACAAAAGTGATTTCATGAGATTTGTTTCAGGAAATAAAATATGCCTTATATGTGCAACAGAGGAAAGAGCATAGATGGCTATGAAGTGGGAAATCTCCATTAGAGCAGAAAGAAGTCAGGAAAAGCTGGCATAGCAATGTGAGCTGGAGAAACACGTTCAGGTTTATCCAGCAGATTAATTTCATATGCACTTCCTTTGCTGGAGGCAAAACTAGTTTTGTTACCTCTGAAATAATGCACCACAATGTACAGAGTTTTCTCTAGAACATTTAATTACAGATTGTCCAAGAGAAATTGTGTTTACTTTCAGAGCAAAAAAAAAAAACATAGGAAGACATTTGCAACATTCACAAGCTTTTTAACCATAACAACTATTCAAATATTACCTATTATATAAATCCTTAATAAGTGATTTTTTTTTCCTTAAGAAGTGTTATAACCTTGAATAGAAATTCATATATGACCATTAAGATAGTAAAAAAAAAAAAAAGAAGAAGAAGAAGAAAAAAATCACCTGAGGAGACCAGGCTTCTTGACTCTCTCATTTCCACTTCTGTCCTCTCTCCCTCTGGTCTGCTGTCCCGGCTTCTCTACCTCCAACTGGCAGATGACTAGATATACCAATGGTTCTGCTGGGACTTCTATAACTAGTCACCGTCACTCTCACTTGAACTGCCACTGTCAGATTCACTACTGTCGTCCCTTCTAGGGGGGCTAAAGTTCCTACTGGAATGGGGTTTTCTGTAATACCAGGAGCCTTTCCTTTGTGACACACTCTTATTCCATGTAGAATTATTTCGTCCATGGGGTACATAATGGCCTTTTCTGCTCTGCGTTATTGTATTCCCTTCATTACCAGGGCCATTATGGGGACCTACTTCATTTTTGATATCATTATCAAGACCCTGAGAAGGAACAAGCAGACCCTGACCTTTGCCCTGACTAGAAAATCTTTGTTTCCCATTTGCGGTCACTCGGTTCCTGTTAGATAGCTCTGTACCTTTTCTACTGCTACCTCTGCCATTTTTTGGTATTTCGTTGTAATTGGCACTTTGCATTGTATCGCTGCTGCCTTCTTTTGGTCTCTCTTTGGAGGGCACATGAGGATAATGGAATTCTACCTTCCCCTGGTGAGCATTTTGGCTGCCAGCATCCACTCTGTTCCCTTCCTTTCCAGGGAGTTCCTTAAAATTGGTGGTGCCCGTGATGTCGTTGCTGCCCTCCACCAGGCTGACGTCAGCAGTCCCTGCCCCTTTCCCTGTTTGACGCTTGTCTCCAATGGCGTTGCCATCACTTTCTTCTCTCTCTGGGATCTCATTATAATCTGGCCCCCTTGTGTCAGGGTTAATAGTCGCAGCTTCATGTGGGCCTGGAAGTCCTGTTTGAACACCTGTACTTTCTGGGTCAGGACTGAGAGCTCCTCCTTTGCTAGGAATGCCTTTAGAAGGTTGACCGTCCCCACTGAAAGGAAAGATATCATTGTCCCCTCTCTCCTGAAGATCTGTGTAACCACTGCCTTCGAAATCACTGGGGATTTTCCTGGCTCGGGAGAGCTGTTTCAGGTACTGAGTGTTGCGTCGGATGTGGATGTGACGAGCATATTTGCTTTTTACTGGGCTCTTCTGGGCTTGGGGATCTCTTTGATGATTCCTTTTATCTTCTGAGTGGGCTTTGGCATAGTTGACACTTGATGGAATTTTGCTTAGAACATTCCTGGGTTTGTGCTCTTTGTTTTCTTCTCCCCACAGCTCAGTCACAGTCACAGTCGCTGGCCTCACCCCATGTGGCATATTACTTCTGATGAGAGCCACACCATATTCTTCTTGGTCGTGCAGGTTGCTGATGTCATCATCTCCATCCTCAACCCCTTTATTCCCAGTGGATTCAGGAAACATGGACATCATTAGGCCATCTCGAGCTTTTCCTGTGTTATGAATACTATAGCCTTCATTCTGTCTATTTGCAGAAGGAGTTGTGGATTTATTACTTTGGTTATTTCCATTGGCTTCAAAAAAGGACACATCTTTCTCTCTTTCTTGGATAATGATTTCATTAGATGATGGTTCTTGATTTCTTCTCTTTTTAAAATGATGAAGAGCAATGTTGTCTTTGCTTTTTTCTTCCTGCTGAAGTATAATTTATAGCATAAAGTGTTTATTTCATGTTAAATTTTTTAAAATATAAAAATTCTTTGGCAATTTTTTAAAACCATATGTTTAATTAATGTAGTCTATTCACTCAATAGAGGCTTATTGGTAGAGCTCATTCTGGAATGGCCAAACCAGATTTCATGGAGAAAGAAAATGAGCAAGGTTGGAAGCATGAGTATGATTCAGATATACAGAGGGGGTGAGAATATTTTAAGGGTAAGTGGCAAAGTCAGTTATTTAGAAAAAGATAATATGAATAAACCTACATGGCTAGAGTGGAGAGATCCTAAGGAAGAGAATAAGAAATAAATTTTTAAAATATAGATTAAGGCCAAACTTTAAAGAAAGACCTAAACTTAAGAATGTGATAGAAGACTGTGATCCTCATGTAGTGAAGAGTTAGTCACACGTGAAATGCATTTTACACTTTAAATTATTCTCTGGGGCTTGGGGTTGTGGCTTAGTGGTAGATCACTTGACTGGCATATGTGAGGCACTGGGTTCAATCCTCAGTACTACATAAAAATAAATAAAATAAAGGTATTGTGTCCATCTACAACTAAAAAGATATTTAAAATTATTAAAAATTTAATTATTCTCTCTCTCCCCTACCCCTTGCCTTTGTCCTGATCCTCAGAAGTATTCATTCAGGTATGGAAGAATTTTTATTCTTCACTCTTCTTTTTTATTTTTCCTTCCTTCTATTCTTCCTATTTCCCTCCCTTAATCCCTCCCCTGTTCTCTTTCTTTTTTTTTTCACAGAAAATCTACAAATAGAAAACTATAGGTAATAATCAGCCTCTGACTTTCAAAAAACAAAAGATTTTGCAGCAAGTTTTGTGACATGAGCTATTATTTGAAAAAGAATTCATTAATTTTCTTCTCTCTTTGTCATATAAGACGAATTTGACAATCGGGATGGATATTTCCGTTCTCAATTTAGCACTTACCAGAATCATTTGGAAGTCTGTTGAAACAAAGACTATGGGGCCCAAAGGTCAGGTTTCTGACTCAGTGAATCTGAAACTGAGCTTTAGAATTTGCATTATAACAAGCTTTCAGATGAGGTAGATTTTGCTGTTCTAGGGACTACAATTTGCAAATCTGTGATCCAGAATGTATGTTTGGAGATCTAGGCAAGAAAAGAGCCCAAGAGAAAATGGATGAAAAGGAGAAAGTAGAGTCAAGCAAAGAGCTTACACCTGAATCTCAATTTGTCCTTTCTTGTGGGAGAGGCTTGTGAAGATGCCACTTTTTTTTCAAAGCTGGGGTACAGCCAGGTTTCAGTAAGCATGGCAGAACGTGGTTAGGAAGAAAAGGGCTGAGACTGATTTTGCCACATACTACTTATTCTTTCTCTCTGGCATAGGCAAGATATTGCAAGGTTTGAGCTTCTGTTCTGGAGCTATGAAGAGGGTGATTGCATAGGTGGAGTGAGGTAGTTCTAAAAGGAGCAATGTAGATGGAGCACATATACTAGGGACAGATATGAGTCATATTTTAAGAGGATACCAAATTGCCTGTGGAAGCCAAGAAAGCCCAAATCACTAATGGGTCCCCATGGAGACTACACTGATTGGATCCTAAGTGATAGTAGGTAATGACTTCCTCTTAGGAAGCCAGCAGGGCAATCAGCACTCAAATAGTCAACAACACTGTTCCATGGTGTCTGAAGAATCCTATCTTCTTCTCCCCTGTGGTATAAGCTGGGTTTGTATTTAATAGTGCATGGCTTATAGCAGCTCAATTCACAATAGCCAAACTGTGGAACCAACCTATATGCCCTTCAATAGATGAATGGATAAAGAAACTGTGATATATATATATATATATATATATATATACACACACACACACACACATACACACACACAATGGAATATTACTCAGCAATAAAAGAGAATAAAATTATGGCATTTTCAAGTAAATGGATGGAATTAGAGAATAGCTTGTTAAGTAAGCCAATCCCATAAACCAAAGACTGAACGGTTTCTCTGATAAGTGGATGCTGATCCATAATGGTGAGGGGGGCACGGGACGAGTGGAGAAACTTTGGATGGGGCAAAGGGGAGGGGGGAGAGGGGATGGGGGTAGGAAAGATGGTAGAATGAGACAGATATCATTACATACATTAGTATATGTATGATTGTACAAGTGGTGTGACCCTACTTTGGGTACAACTAGAGAAGTAAAAAATTGTGCTCCATTTGTATAGAATAAATCAAAGAGCATTCTGCTGTTATGTATAACTGACTTGAACAAATAAATAATTTTAAAAAAGAGTAATTTGGGCTGGGGAGGTGCCTCAAGCGGTAACACGCTCGCCTGGCATGTGCGGGGCACTGGGTTCGATCCTCAGCACCACATAAAAATAAAATACAGATGTTGTGTCCACCGAAAACTAAAAAATAAATATTAAAAAAATTCTCTCTCTCTCTCGCTCTCTCTCTCTCTCTCTCTCACACACATAAAAAAGTGTAATATGTTGGTATTACAATTCCAATTTAAAATAAGTACACCTGTGATTTTAAGCTTAAACCTTTTTAGGAAAAGGTGTTTATTAGTTAAAAAACATACTTAAAAAGAAAGCCAAATATATGAAATTTATATACTCAATTTAAAATAATTAAAAGAATTTCATGATTCATTAGTAAACCAGAACAAAAATTAATCAAAGGCCCCCTTATATGTGTTAAAATTTGACTTTGAAAAAAATTTGTAAATTGAAAATAGTTAATTAATTAAGAAAAAAAAGTAGTGGGTGGACTTAGCCATGCCTGTATACCATCTTAGAGAAGAAGGGGAAGTGAGGATCTGAGCATTTTTATCTAAAAGAGACTAAAGGATTTACTCAAAAACTATTTACATTATTAGATAACCTTAAGTCTAACAGGTTAAAATGAATTTATGTGCATTCCCTTGTCCCTTCATAAACCCATTGGTAGGGTTTTTTGAGCAACAGAATAATTACAGACAGAAAAAAATTCCATAGTTCTTTACACCCCAAATTGAATTTATGCCACTACATAAGCCTTCAAACTGGGAATAATATAAAATCAAAATAAGAGATATTTATGGAGGACTCAAGATTTGTATACAATTGGGCTGTGTGCTATATGTTCTAAGCAAAACCTGGTGAATTATTAAATGGCAAAGACATCCTGTAGGTACAAATGGTATGTGTAGCAATTTTTCTTCTTAGGCCATTGTGTTCATATCCATCACCTGACTATGGTTATGGGGTCCCATGTCAACCCCAAACTCTAATGTAGTCTGATCATCCCCAGCACACAGCATTTGTCACTTTTCTTGCCCTGTCCATATCCCTGTATTCACTACACAGCTTAATTTTGTCTTATCTTTTTGTAACCACGCTTCAATCTTCTGGCTCTTGTTGAGCATGTGAACATCTTCTTGGACATGTTAATTAAAGATGTAAACATAGATGAGCACTCCCAGATAGAGAAGCAATCAGCTGAAAACACACACTTTGGGAGCAAGTTTGTAGGGAATATAGCAAAGAAGATAGAAAAAACAGATTCAGGGAAGCCAGCATCATTGAGAATAGCACCAAGTAGAATAGCAGACAGAAGATGACAATGGTCTTTTTTAATCCTTCACTCCAGTGCGCACTAAAAGTAGTTGAATATGGAAAGAGCATAGATATTAGAACCACCTGCCTGACTCTTTATTGACTGTATGACCTTGGGAGCCTTTTTTAACTCTTTGAGTTTTAGCATTTTTCAGCTATAAGATAGGAAAAATGATACCTACCTTTTAGGATTGTTGTGAGAATTAAATAATTTTATTAAGTGATATAATGCATGTAATGCATCTAGCAAAATTCCTATCATTAAACAAGTCTATATAAATGATAGTAACAATCATTTCTTATGGAACTGTATACAAGTCTTTATGGAATGGTAGTTTGCTTTCTCACATAATGTTAATGATAGTCATTTGATATAGAATGCACGCCTGTTGTCCAAGTCCCTCGACATCTCTAACATGGTCATAGAGGCAGGTAGAGACAGAATTTTTCTGAACCCTCTGACCATACAATACCTGAATGTTGCCCTCTGGCTGTTGGTTCCACAAGCCTGTGGCCCCTGATGACATGTTATTTAAAAAGTGGTTCTGACAGGACTTCTTCTCCCCACCCCTCTCTGTCTTTCCCCTACCCCCAAATAGAAGCACGGTTCTAATGGAAGGACCACCAGTTATTAATTATTTGGTGCCGTGGGGAAATTGTTGAATCAGCTCCCACTCGAATCTCAAAATAAAAATGGTTTATCTAATTGTACTTCAATTGTATGAAGCTTGCTAACGTCTGCAAAAGTGCCAACTTGTAACAATTTTAAGATTTAATTTGAATTGATTTATTTGTGGAAGTTATGACACCATTAATCACCAGGATAACACCATTATTTTTTATATTCCCAAGTATATTCTAAAAGTAGGCAAGACTTTGCTATGAAAAAAAAAGAGAAAGAGAGAGAGAGAAACAAACTTTGCAGTGAGTTACTTCTGAATAAAAAGTACTAGAAACAGTATCTTGCTTTAAGTTATTTAGTTTGGGACATTTATATTGTCCATTGCAATCAAGCTTATTTACTCATTGCTAGTATAGCCTTTTGAGCTAAATAAGTGGGCCAGAAAAATCAGTAGATTATAATAATTCGTTCTTAATTTTTTTTCTTTTCCTATTCTGAACTAGGTAGTTTTTTTTTGGGGGGGGGTGGTTGTGTGTGTGTGTGTGTGTTTTTAGTGCTTTTACTAGTTTCAAAAGAGTAACATATTTACTAATGAATTCTATGCATGTCATTAGAGAAATTAATGAGATTATTTTATAATGGAAAACATGAAATAACTTTTGAACTGTGGTACGAAATAGCTAATCATTTCTAACCATACATCAGAGAAAATGTTTTAAAACCAGAAAAACTTGCTTTTTTGCATTTGCTTATGTTAAGTAATGTTTGGCTGCATACTGGTCTATGAATAAGTTAGCTGGTCTGATTTCCTATTTTCATTCTTCAGTTCATAGTATTCTTTTCTTGGAGCATGGCCTCACCCATTCATTTCTGTTTTCTTAAATCCTGCTCATCCTCCAAGGCCCAGCTCGATAATTCCATTATGTGGAGTTCCCTGAACACTAGGCAAACAACCAATTTTTTTTTTCTACTCCAAGTCTCTAAAGCATGATTAAAAAAAAAAAAATCCCATTTATATGGCACTTTCCACATTGCCTCTTGGGTTCTAATGATTTTGTAAGTGTCTTTTGTTTCTTTTCTAATTCCCAAGATCTGGAGAGAAAGAATTAAGTATTTTACATAGTACCTTACACAACAGAAATAGCTGAATTTGTTTGTTACTACAAGTAAGTTCTAACTGATTTTAATAGGCAAGTGGATGCGGTTTTAGAGATGGCATGTAAAAGATACCAAACAGAAGAAAATAACATTCTGAAGGGAAACTCCTACATCCATGGGAAATGAGAACAGATTTGGAAAAGTGAGTAGTACTTCTGCTGATGGTATTGAAAGCTGTTTCCAGCTCTTTAACCAACAAATCTACAAGAAGTGACTGAGTGAAAAGAATTATTGTCAGCCCAGTGACAAAGGCGTCATTCTTTCTCTTCTGAACATCCCAACACAGATTGAGTCATCCATGAAATGAATTAAAGACACTAAAACATGTCACTCTTAGGCCAAAATGATTTCTCCTATTAACTTTCCCCTGGTGGGATCCCCACCATTAGAGCATATGGTGTCCAGAACATCTCCTCACGTAAGATCAAACCTTACTCAAAATAATGTGGCAATCCATGGGTGTCTGTAGCCGCAGGTCTTGAAACAGAGAGGATTTTGAGCTAGGGCATGGGGCAGGAGTCAGGAACGCAGAGTGGCATTAGTAGAGAGGATTGAGGAGCCTAGGAGTATGGGGGAAGGGAGGAAGGCGCCAGCCAGGGACAGAAACCAGAGAGGAGGCAAAAATAAACTTGTCTCTCGTACAATTTCCCCTAGGGTTAGCCCAGAGTTTGGCTTGCAAAAAGAACCTTCACTCAAAGATTCTGCTTACCTTTCTGTTGGTTTGATTTTCCTTCCCAGATGATGTATTAACATCCTTAAAAATATAATACCCATATTTTTCATGGTGGCCTTTGTATGTTCTCTACAAAAACACAACATTATATTAAGATGAGTGGTCATTCACTACAAAGCTTCCTGGCTTCCTTTCTGACAGCATGAGATATTTTTTAACTTGGGAGAAGTCAAATTCTGCTTCTGACAAATGGTAGTGCTTCTTGGAACCACAGGAGGGTGTGCGTCAGCCAGCCTCTGGAGACAACCAATTGTTCCTTCTCTTTTATCTACTTATCTCTAAATATGTTTTCCCTGCATGTGACTGTCAAATGCTTCACCTCCCAGGGTATATCAATTTTTCTTCAAATTTCAATGGAAATGGAGCATGCAGAAATATTTCAGTGAGATGGCTGAGGAGATCATGAGGAAGGCAGGTTTTACAATACTCACTCTAATGTCCAAATGGCAAAACTCACAGCAAGAATATGCAGCCTTTTAAATTTGCAGTTTTATCCCTTTGTAATTTTCAGTTTGGATAAGGAACAGAAGATTGTTAGTTCTTAGAACAGAGTTTTCTGAGAGTGCCAGGAGAAACTATGGCAGGCAGAAGTAAGCTGCAATTTGGTGATGTGCAAAGCTGAGAGTATTTGCTGAACTTTCTGGATGGATGTGGAAAATGAATTGCATGTAAACTAAATTTTCCATTAAAACCTGTTACCAATTTCCTCTTTTTCCCATTCATTTATCACTTTGCTCTCATGTGTCTATGTGGCAAAATATGATTTGCTAGTTACAATATCCCAGAATTCTTCCTTATCCCTCTGAAAGTTGCCTAGCAAAACATTATTTCTTGAAGGAAGAAATCACACTGAAGAGAAACAAATCTATATTCAGAATGGTTTCTTACTTTCCTATCACACATTGTGTGAATTTTAATACTTGGTTAACTAGAAAGTGCCAAAATGATGTTCGATAATTTTGCACTCCCAGTATAAGCACCCAAAAATATTTTGGCAGTTCAAACTTTCTCTTATTGACGTTTTTTCTTTACAGAGCTAAAATTGAGTTATTTGAGAAGAATGATTCTGTTTACCCTGTGTTCTTCCACACAGCCTTGCCGAGGTTTCACAGTCTGTAGTGGAAACGTCTGCAAGGAAATGAGGGACATTTCACCAAGTGGAACATTCTTTCATCCATTTCTTCAAACAACAAATCATTTATTTTTCTCTCACTGGGTTGTACTAGCCAATGTGGAAAATCATTCTAACCAAAAGAAGGTGGACCCAGTTATCCCTTCACAGTTATTTTGGTATTAGAAAGGACAGTGCCAGCTTTATTCTCCCAGATGGAAACAATGCCACCTCCGTTTCAGAACCAGATTCTAGCACAGAGAACCACCACATGGAATGGCAAGAAGAAGGAAGGCATGATGCTCCAGCGGAGGAGCTCAGATGCTATTGTTATTCACTGAAGAGAGATTTTCATTCTCAACCTGGAATTGTTGAGTATACGAGAACTCAGAGTTCAGTGCTATGGACTTATGGGAAATGATGGTATAAATTCAACGGTTGATATGATGAGTTAAGTTATGACAGTGCTGGTGGTCCAGGAAAAGTCCCACACCACAGTCCTGCGTGGAAGGAGTAGGATTATACCCCTTCTCTGTCCTGGCCAGAGGTTTTATTCAGGGAAGGTGGATGGAGGTGGTCAGCAGATTAGAACAAATTCTTTCTCTTGGATTGATATGAAAATGTAAAAATTTCTTGAGAGGTCCTGATGGTGAGGGGTTGCTATTGAAGTGGAGGATGGTCAAAAAATAAAAAGGAATAGACCTGGGCAGCTGTCCCAGGCCTTTGAGCTGAAGGCATCACAGGACAGCATGCAGAACAATATCTAAGAATCCTGGAGCAAGTTTTGTGCAACAGGAACAAGTATATGGATATTTAATTGTCAGTATTTCTATTTCTCTACTTACTTTTGAAAGCCCTAGCTTATCTGTGATGTCGAAAGGGGAACTACTGAGTAGAACATGTTTGTTCTTCAATATATATGCTAAAGTAGAAGCAGGAGCCATGGTGGGCTGGTTACAGAAGAGAGAAACCTTCAAGGAAAGATCAAAACAGAGGTAAACAGTTTCAGGGGCTAATAGCAGTCTGCCTAATAGCAGTCCTATTCACTTAGAAAGTAGTTTCCTAAATAAACCTTATTTAAAAACCTTAAAATAAACCTTAATGTCATGGATTTTCTTAAAGCATCTTAAAAATATAAACTCAAAGTTTCCTAAAAATACCTCAATGTAAATCTGTCTAATATTCCATTTTATTCTAGAAACAAACAATAGTTTCTCAAAAAACCTTATATTCATATAGCACTTCACAGTTTGTATACTGTGATAGGGATCAGTCATACAGATTTGCATAGAAATCTCATTTGAGTCCCATAATAACCCGTGTAATATAGGTAATAGAAGCCACACTGCCTATATGTACAGAGGTGGTAGTAGATGTAGAGGAGATACATTAACCTAAATCCTCTCTCTCTCTCAAAGCCCCAGGATTACAATAATAAATTTTAAGTAGTTACATAAGAAAAAGCATTTGCTGATAAAAATGTTCCCAAAGCTTACATTAACCTCAAGATATATTTTACAATTTTTTTTTTTTTTTTTTTTTTTTTTTTTTTTTTAAATTTTAATATTTATTTTTTAGTTATCGGCGGATACAACATCTTCGTTTTGTATGTGGTGCTGAGGATCGAACCCGGGCCGAACGCATGCCAGGCGAGCGCGCTACCGCTTGAGCCACATCCCCAGCCCAATATATTTTACAATTTTATTCTTTATTGTATTTTTTAAGGTCCGTTCTTATATGATCTTGTGAATGTAAAGTTAGATCATTTCATCATTCTTTACTAATGTCAGAATAGCTAAAATAGTTCTGGAAATGGGGTTATTGGAAGAATAAAACATAAAAATGAGTTGGGTAGATATGAAACAAAAGAAACAAAAGCATAGGCATCTTCTTAACAGAATACAGGCACACTCACAATCACATGCATTTGTGTATGGATTAAAAATACATACATGATGACACAGAGTACCTTGGTATAGCCATGATATTCTGTGACTTAGAACAAAGCCTTCTTAGTCATATTGCCTACTGATTAATTTTCATGGAATTGCACGGCCCAATGACCTTTTATTTCTCATGTTTTAAAATTGTTTGGAATTTGGCTTACAGTTCTTAGACATACATAAGTGACTCAGTATATATTACATTTTATGCTAGCAATCTATTATTAAATACTTTAGGTAATTGCTAAAATAGAATCTGTGTATCTGTGAGAAAACATCACATTTCACTTTTCGCAATGCCAAATTTTGTACCCTTGCTGAGACTCTTTCATTTGAATCTGTACCCTTCCCTTTTCTCCCAATACCCAATTGGTGGTTGATCTGGGCTTGAATGTGGTTCTGTAATGGAGATGGCATTGTCTGCCTCTGGGAGGAAAGTTGGCACCTTCTTTTGACCAGTGGTCACTGGATCAATGTTGACATAGCACTTTACTGGAAAATGGTCAGAAGCATCACTCCAGCTGTTCCTTGGAATGTAATGCTCAAAATAAACTCATCCTCAATTGGTTAGATTGAACTAGGTCAAATAGACCCACACTATCACCATCATGCCTAAGGGCGTGCCTCTACAGCCTTGGTGAGCTAGGTGATGTGGATTGGGCCTGACACACGTCTGTTTTAAGTAGTACAGCCCCCACAGGACTCTGTGAGTACGTGTACTAAGAGGGGTGTATGCTTTCCCCAAATTCTGCTGTCCTCACCAGATGGTATGGTTCATCCTTGTCCCTCTGGTTACCCAACTGGTCGCCCACTCACTTAGGACCTATATTTAAACATGGTTGGCAACACAATGATTACTTGTTTCCATAGTTCTCCAACCAAAAAGGTTACTCTGAGAAGTTAGGATACTGTTCAGACATTATCTAATTAGCGCTGTGTCTGCATTGCAGAAAATGTCTGTAATGCTCAGCATTGTCACAAGACAATTTGGTCACATCCTGAGTACTCATCTGGGTGAATCAGAAGAAAAGACACAAAGGGAAATAGAAGCTTGAGTTGGGCTAAGTTTAGGTGGTACTACTTCATATCGTTAGCCTCACTGAAGAAGAGAACATCTTTAGCAAAATCCCACAGCACTAAGGTGTTGAAAGAAATACAGAAACATTTTGTACCTTTGCATTGCCATCTGTTTACAAAATAGTGTTGGTGAGCTTTAAAACATTCATCTGGAGTTCTTCATTCGGATAATATACTAATATAGCATAGTATGTACATACTAGAGTATATATAGTAAAAAAGAAAAGTTTTGGCATGATATAATTTAAGTCTTTGAACATTAATCATTAGCCTTAGCTGACCTGAAACACTCTTACTGGCTTTTGGTTCTCTCAAAAATACTGCTTTATGTGCTCTGTAGAAAGTAACATGGAGATATCACATGTTTATTGAAAGATTCCTTAGTGATAGATGTTAAGTGCTGGATGTTTTCTATATGCTTGATACTTTATTGTTACTGAATTAGATAAATGTTAAATTTATTTTTTACTAATGTTAAAAGACGTGGCTTAAAAGAAAATAAAGTAAGAGATTCTATGAACATAAATGAATTTGTAATGCTTACTGATGCTGCCCAGGTCACACTAAAAAGCAGCAGTCCCACATAGACACCTTGCATCTTTGAGAATCTCTGTGAAAAGACAATAATATTTTACCCTAAGGCATTGCCAATTGTGAACTGCAGCCATAAACTCAAAAGTACATGTAAAATCCTTCCATCAGAGCATCCATTTCCTTTATGTATATTAATAATTATATATTATTATACATTATAAGTATATAATATTTATATACTGGCACATGTTTTATATAGTTATATCTAGAAATTAGCATATATATATACAAATATTTTGTATGGCTTTTTTATACCCAAATGTGGATATTTTAACCTAAAAATTGTAAAGTCTAATTATTTCTATGTGAAATGAAAATTGTTAACTATCATTAAAACAATAAAGTCAGCTACAGAAATGATTTAGAGACACATTTATTTGCTCTATTGTTAGACCTACATTTTTTTCTCATCTTTACAAAGAAATCATTGAATATTTGTATAATTCAAAGTGTCAGTAAATTAATATAGCAGCTTATAATAGACTCTTTAGGTGTGTCAAAGTAGCAAACGCCACCGTGAGGAATAAAATTCTATTTCAGTCCAGGCTGGTGCCCCAACATACCTTCCCATATTCATTAGCAAAGTCTCTGAATTCACCGCCATCTCTGGGCTGGAGAAACTACTTATGTGACATTTACATTAATAGCTAGCAATTTAAACATTGAAATGAACTAAGGACTGTTCTAAGAATTTCATATGTATTCAATTATTTGAGCCTCACAATAACCCTATAAATGAAGTGAGTCCTATTCTATAGATAAAAAAAGGTCAAATAACTTGCCCCCAAACTCACAGTTATTAAGGGGCAGAACAGTGATAGCAATCCAAGAAATGCAGCTATAGAGACAGTGTTCTTAGTCAGTACTATGTGCCACCTTAAATAAGTCTCTATTCTTTAATCTTATTACAGAAGTATCTACACATAATCGACTTAATGACAAAACATATATCAGACTCAACAATGTAATGTTTAAAACATAGTTATGGGTAAAAGTACGCATTTATACTTTGGTAAATATATTGACAGACTCTAGTGAGCCCTCGTAAGTAGCCATTAGATTGAAAAACATATATATTGTCAGCATATCTTTGGACTAACAATTTGTTGATTTTCATGAGCATTAAATATTTTACTAATTATACATAGACATATAGCAACCAATATGAAAATAATATTTCATTCTTTGTGATTAGTTGGGATAAAACACTTTTAAATGAGAAAAGTAATATATAAATATTCTTCTAATCTTTAAACATTTCAAAGCAAAAATTTATTTGTAGAAGTAAACAAAATTATTGAATATATTCTGAAGTTTTAGACTATTCCCTTCCAAACTAATATAATTCTAAGGAATTACTTCAAACTAAAATTTATTTCTTCAAATATTTTATATATCCAGACAATATAAATCAGTTATCAAATAGCAATGCTGAACAGTAGAAATATCAGCACAGACAATGTTTGAAAACATAAACATGATCAGATTTTCTTTATTCTGGTTTGTAAAGGATACAACCAAATTCACAGAGGAATAGAGTAGAATTTAAGTCTTTGTGTTACTGTGAATCTTGATTATGCTGATAGTCAAATCAAAGAAGAAGCTAATACCAAACCATCAATTTGGTGATTAGTTGGTGATTTCTATAGCTTAGTAACACACTTCTTATGTTATAAAATAAAGCACTGAATACTACTCAGTTGCGCAAATTGTAGAGAATAACTTCAATTTGCATTTACTTTCAAAAGCAGTAATCTGATCAGAGTGCCAAGCATCTTGAAAATGTAAACAGCTATGATATAAAGCTATTTGCTACCAAAAACATTGAGAGAACCAAATTACCTGGTATGTTTTACCTTCAGAAAACCTGGTTTCTTCTGCAGATTAGCAGTCTCTGAGCATTTTGCTGAAATTTAAAGTTTGTTAGAATTCCCAGTGTCCAATCAGCACTGGCCCACTTTGCACTAGCAAACAATTTGTTACCAGTGCCCACAGATAACCACAGGGGGCAAAGTAATTTTAATCTAAAAATGTTTTTGTGGTAGAAAGCTGCTATCAAATGTTCCAGAAAGTGGAATAAACAGAAAATATAAATACCTCAGTTTGAATATCATGTTGTCAGATAATTAGAATTGATTTAAAAACTATTAGGACAGAATACCTAACAAGTTTATAGATAGAAAATATTTATAAACTAAAAAGTTTATAGATGCAAATTTTTTGTTATCTTTTCATACAAAAAGTCTCTATCCTCAATTTTATCTGAATGAAATTCAGAAACATTAACAAAGATGTTTTGAGTGCCTACTATGTGGTACCCATTGAGGAAATAATAGTGAGCAAAATGGACAAAATAATTCTTGTTTTCATGGAACTTATGACTCAGTAGAGAATACAGTAATAAATAAGATAAATAAATAAACCAGTAAACCATTTTATGTTAGATAATGATATAGATGAAGTCTAAGTATAAAACGTACTGCAGGGATAACAAGCATTAAGATTGAGGACTCTAGGTTGAAATCTAGATAGAGTTTTTGAAATACCTTATTGAGAAGGCAACTTTTGGGTAAAGACTTTGCTATGGTTTGAATGCATGTGTCCCTCTAAAACCCATAGAGTCTTTAAGATTTGATTAAGTCATGGGGGTAGAATGTTCATGAATGGGATTAGCAACTTAATAAAAGAGCTGGAGGGAATTAACTAGGCCAATTTTGCCCTTTCACCTTTCTGCCATGTAAGAATGCAGAATTTATCATCTCTGAAGGGTGAAGTCACAAGGGACCATCTTGGAAGCAGATAAAACAAAACCTCATCAGATACTGAACTTGCAGAACTTTGACCTTGAACTTTCCAGTCCCTGGAACTGTTAGAAATAAATATCTTCTCTTTATAAATAACACAGTCTGTAGTATTTTGTTATAGCAGCATGAACAGATTAAGACATCTGTAGCCACAGGACTATCTATAAGAACATTCCAAGCAGGAGGAATAGGAACAACAGAGCTTCAGTGACAAGAGCCTGCTGGCTTGTTCTACAGAAGAGGCCAATTTGGCCAGAGGAACTGAGCAAGGAGAATAGCAGCAAATGAAGTCAGAAAGGCATTAGGTGGCAGATGATATGGGGCCTGAATGTCATCACAAGACTTTGGACTTTACCCTGAATGAGAAAGAAATCCTCTAGAGGTTTTGAATGGAGAATTGACTTAAGGAGTGACTGGATTAGGAAAAGGGCAGAGATAGCATCCTTAAAACTCTCATGATGATCCCAAAAAGAGCTGATGGGACTTGAACCAGAGTGTGGCAGAAGGATGATGTAAGTGGACGTATTCAGAGTATATTTTGAAAGGCAAGCCAGTAAGACTGCTGGTATACTAGATAAAGGCTGTGAGAGAAAATCAAGAATCAGGATGACATCTGTGTTAGTGACCTGCAACTAGAAGAATTAAGTTGCTTTATATTGATCTGGGAAAATATGCAGAGAAGATAGTTTTGAAGGAATTATTGTGAGTTTAGAATTGTTCATGAATGTTATACAATGGTCAATTTAGGGATTTCTTTTTATTTGGCAGTATTAGGGATCAAATTCAGGGCCTTGCTCTTGCTAAATAGGTGCCCTACCACTGAATTATAACCCTAGCCCAAGAGTACTGAATTTCTTAATGAAACAAGTAGCATACCCATATAAGAGTAAGCCATTCATAATTATTGCCTATTCATCTCTATTGTCCACACTGGCTGCCAAATTCATAATTGTGATAGTTAAGGGGGTTCCATTCAGTCTAAAAATATAACAACCCATGGGGTTTTTACATTGAAATTATATGTGAAAATATGTATGAAAAAATGTGTGAAAATTATTTAACCTATAGTTTGTGATAAGAACTATCTATAGTTAAATGCATTTTAAAAATTATAGATGACATATGAGATTTAAGTATAAGCTCCAATTTCTCCCAGCTCCCCAAATAGACAAAAAAAAAAAAAAAAAACAGCAACAAAAATAGACCTTGGGTGCTTTAGGCTTAGAAAAGGATACCTTTTGTAGTTAAGGTCAAATCCCACTTTTCTGCCATACCAAATTCTGCATCTTATGAGTGTCCTGGGCTGCTTTTTCAAACACCTGCCAAAGCTAGAGTTTGAGCTATTGACCTGGGGCCACAATGATCCAACCTTGAATTTTAGAATATTTGAATACTACCATTGAAAATGAAGGCATTTAATTCTAGGAGTTTTGAAGCCAAACTCAAACAGATATGAGTTCAAATCCTGATTTTACTAAGTGTTTATGTGGTAAATTTCTTAACTAAATTGAACTTCACTTTGCCTCAATTTCTCTAACTAAATATAGGGATCATAAATGAGCTAAATTTTCATTATTACTATGATGCAAGCATTGTTCTCTGTGTTTTTACATTAATTCATTTTACCCTCATAACAACTTTGTGATGTAGGTATTATTGTTATTATACTTACTTTAGCAATGAGACAGAATTCTCTTAAGAGACTTTCTTAGGGTCACATACTCAGCAAGAAGAAAAGACAGAAATTGCAACCAGGCAATTTGTTGCCAAAACAAAGCTTTAAAACCATCGTACTATACAGCATAAACATTAAATTAACCAGCTCTACAAGGTGCTTAGTTAGCCCAGTGCCTACTTGTATAATTAAAGGATAGATAACTACGCATCCCACCCACTCTTCCCATCATTAATAATAATCGGGTATTCAGGTGATAGATATGTCTTCCATATCTCCTTTCTGTCCTCTGTTGATTACATGTCTTCTTCCATAAAGTACTTAATGTAAGAGTAAAGTCAGTAAAATATTGAGAGAAATAATATGGCTGATGTATAAGAGAACATGGTGGGGTGGTCTATTTCTCTAGACATAATAAATATTTGTGCCTATAATTTCACCAAAGTGCTAAAGATTCAGGTGATAAGGGAAAAAGCTAACAAGAAAATCAAAGCCAAGGAAAGAAACACAACAAATGAGAATGTT